GGTCCAGGCTGGCCTTGCGTGGCCCTCAAATTTTTTTTCTCACCCGAAAAAATTTTCACCCCCAGGGACCCAAACCACAAGCTCCCTGCCCCAGCTGGGTGCGTCCCACAAACAGACCAATGGAGTGTAAGGACTCCGCCGAGTCCTTCACTGTCTGTCGGGAGAGGCACTAGAAGAGGGGCTCAATAGCTCCTAAGAGAAGGTTTCTAATACCAAAGTGTGTTTTATTTCATGTCTAGACAGGAGAGAAAGATCTCTCATTAGTATATACAAGTGACGGGAAATGAGAAAAGGAAATGGGAAGAGAAGGAAGAAGAAAGGGTACTCACCTAGACAGGAGAGAAAGATCTCTGCTGTCTAGGTGAAGGGGAAGTGCAAGACTAAATACAAGCCAGAACTAAGCTTATGTAATCTAGTGACATGTTTGTGTAAGTCATGAGGAGCAGGGCTTACAGTCTCCCCTCCTATAAAAGAAAATGAAGAAGGGGAAAAATTTAACAGTAACCAGGACAGTAAAAAAAGAGAAGAACAAAAAATAGAGAGTGGCCTGGAATTGTGGAGAAGAATTTGAGAGTGGTGGATGATTTGAGGAGAAACTTAGAAGTACGGCAGAGAGGATCATGAGGAAGATAGAACTAATATATAAAAGAAACTATTGGGAGGTGAGGACGGTTGGAGGATATGTGTGGGGGACAGAGGGTGAAGGTATCATACATAAAATAATATTGGATTGTCGGGTGTTGAAGTCGGGTTGGCCTTTTTCTTTTTCTTCTTTTTCTTTTTCTTCTTTGTTTCAGTCTCATCTGTATTGGCCTGCTGGAGGTACTCTTGGATGTCATTGTAGTAATCTAGAGTTGCTTGTGAATATTCTGGGGCTAGTTGGGCATCCGTAGTATTGCTGTCATCATTCTCAACAGTTAGGGATCCTATTGCAGCTATCTCAAGGTTGGCAGGACAGGCTGGGGCAATTGGGGAGATTGGGGATGAGATAACTTGTGCTAGGCTTTCTTGAATTGGCACAAGTGGAGGTGTAGATGTGCAAAAAGGGGGTAAAGCACTGTAGATCTGCTCGCTGTGTTTAGATTCATCAGCGAGGCAGTTGGAAGTAGTCTCAGTACAGGTGGGTGTGGTAAGATTAGTATTCAGGGGGAACTGAGGGTTGATGACCGAGAAGGGCTTGGATTCGCTGTTCTTCTTTGGTTCAGAGGAAAGATGATGGGTGAGTGAGATCGATGCGAAGGTGAGGTTATCTTTATAAAGCAACAAAGCGAGACCATCGTCCGTATTTGAGTTGGGATTCTTGGAAGGAGGGGAAGACACCGTGGTAGAGCAAAGGGACTCAGGGCCCCCAGTTGATGGCTTTGTTTCTAGCTTGGTTTGATTGCGTTTGACTTTGCCTGACGCTGGGCGATTGGAGGATGGAAAACTATCTAAGGAGCGCGATCGGACTGGAGGGCTTTTCAAGAGTATGGGAGGCGACAGCGACAATCTGGCCGTGGCCTGATCGCAAACGATTTTGTCTGATACCAGTTGATCAGAGGACGGAAACGGTTTGGAGGTATGCAATCGGCGGGGTGTGGTGTTAGCTTTAGGATCTGTGTTTGGTCGCGAGGTTGTATTGGGCTGCGGTAGAGGCGATGAAGGTGGGACGATAGAGCTGCCCAGTTGTAAGTCAATCAAGGAAGCGGCTGATCGCGAGGCAGCCTTGTGCTGCGGTAGAGGCGGTGGAGGGAGGACGGACGAACAGTCCGATTGGCTAGAGATCAGAGGCGGCGATGGCCGAGGTGACGGGGGTCGCGAGGCAGGGTTGGATGAAGGGAGGGGTAGATTGGGTGGATCGATATCGTTAGCGGCGCCGGCAGGTTGAGTAGTTTGATTAATAAGGGCCGCCTTCAGACAACGCTTCTCAGTGGAGGACTTCCCGTCACCATTTAGAGTGCTTTTTACACACTCACCCGAGTCCTAAATTAACACCTCAATCATAAATCCAATCAG